GAAAGAAAAAGTCTTTCCTAGAGGAATTGACCAATGATGTACCATCTTTGAAAAAGCTGTTCTTGAAGAATGATCCCTTAGGAAGCACCTTGCGCTTGCTAGAGGTGAGAGTATAGGATTGGGGGGAAGTTTCAACACCAGCCTTATTATCAAACATATTACTTAGAAGAAGGCTTTCTTTTTTTTTTTTTTTTTTTTTTGTTTTTTTTTTTTTTTTTTTTTTTTTTTTTTTTTTTTTTTTTTAAAGATTTTATTTATTTATTTGACAGAGAGAGATCACAAGTAGGCAGAGAAGCAGGCAGAGAGAGAGAGAGAGGGAAGCAGGCTCCCTGCCGAGCAGAGAGCCCGATGCGGGACTTGATCCCAGGACCCCGAGATCATGACCTGAGCCGAAGGCAGCGGCTTAACCCACTGAGCCACCCAGGCGCCCAGAAGAAGGCTTTCATATGTATCCAAACTCCCTGAAGATTTCTCTCCTATTTCCTGCTTCTCCTTTCTCTTGCCCAAGTGCTGGACATATGCAGATCTTACATACTAAGTTTCTCATCTTGAAATTTGCCTGTCGTATATCTTATCTCCTTCAAACCATCAATTGACTACTTCATTATAAACTCATACATTTAAAAAAAAAGAAATTCAGGGTACTACTGTCATATGCTTTATTTTATTCTATTTTTAAGTTTATTTTGGTATTTATTTTTAAGTAAGCTCTGTACCCAGCGTGGGGCTTGAACTCCCAACCTTGAGACCAAGAGTCACATGCTCCACCAACTAAGCTGGCCAGGCATTCCTGTTATATGTTTGAATTAGGACATTGTAAATGCAGGGACCAAATATTGAGCCCATTAGCTCAGCTATATTGGGAGGTTTCAGTGTAAAGTTCAATGGAAAGAAACATTTTTTGTGAACCTCATTCTTTCTGTGTGAGAATATACGTTCACAAGCTTTCCTTTGCCTGATAAAGACTCTGTTCTCTATTTAAGTAGCTGATTACTCTTTGATTGGAAACTCAAGAATAGAGCACTTTACTGTAAGAAGGATTTAATAAGTGTATTCATTTTACCATTTAGAACATAAATATTATTACTGTTTCCTTGGTCTTGGTAGCTTTCCTCTATAAAAGCTTATTTTACTATGGAAAACTATTATGGATATTGTGTGAAATTTTAGTTGCTTTTATTCCTTAATTTGGAAGCACAGATAGAAAAGACTTTCAAGATTTAATTCTGTCCTAGAAAAATAGCTTTTTTCAGAAGCTTCAGTTTTGTGATAATACTTCCTGATGAATTGAGTTTTCCTTAATTTTCAACTAAAATTATGTAACTCTCATTAAGAATAAATAAATACTGTATCATAGATTATTGTGCCTTAATTTGGTTTTATCCTTTTTAATGGTTACATATTTCGTTATTGACTCCTTTACAGTGATTTTCCAAGTATTTGTATATTTTATATGTGTATGTGTTTAATCATGGTAAGGATAAATTACTCTCTTTAGTTTAAAAAAAAACCACACCTCACTATTAACTACATAAACATGTGTGTGTGTGTGTGGTTTTTTTTTACCCCATTTGAATGGGGTGGGGGAGAATGAATGATTCTGAAACCATCCAGTTATCTGAGAACTTTTGTTTGAAAATTAAAGCTTATTTCCAAATCATACATTTCCTGTGGCTTTGAAACAGACAAATTCCAGTTGATTGATTTTTCCCAGGGTTTTTTTTTTAATGCTAAAAAAATGTACATTTACAAGTGTTTAGTTTCCTATTTTTGAACAGGAAAATGACTTAGTTGCTTTGCTATATAACTAATCTCATTAATGTAGAAAAATTGGTTATTCAAATAGGGATTTTTGTTTCTCAAAATAGTCACAGTCTGATTCTCAAATTCTAATTTTATTACTAGTTATTGACATGGCTATGTGGCTGCATGCCTATAATGTCAGATCAACATTTTGTATTCCCTCCTTTATGCAGGAAAAGGCCTTGATTTGTCTGTGTAAGGGTAGGATATTAAATATATACTCAACATGTTTTATTCTCATGTTCATGGCTCGTAATGAATTTGTTATTTAGGCTGGGTTCTATGCAGCTTCTTTTAAAATGTTTTATGCATGTTATTTTAATCCACTTGACTACAAAGGGATAGAATTCTAAATAAAAGATCTAAGCTACTTAGAATTAATTTAAGATGTACTTCCACTTGTTCCAGTTAATTCATTTATATTTTCCTGCATTTAATAATGCATAAAATCCATAAATCCATAAAATAACTTTAAAATCTGTCATGCATCATTAAATTCATTTGTGCTTCATTGTAGGTGTTTAAATAAATTTAGCCTTTATACTGAAGAACTTGGTTGTTTTTGTGGACTGTAATTTACATGTATATTTTAATGTTGCCTCAAGGTTGTCTTTAATGTAGATACTTTGAATAAGATTATGTTAAGAAACTTTTGTTGCAGGTTATTGTAACAGTGGTAATTATATATATATATATATATAATATTTTTTTTTTGAGAAGCAAAATCCCTTGTTCATTGATTATTAAGACAGTAGAAACTGTTTTAAGAACTGTATGAAACTCTTCATTATAGGAGTTCAACTCATTAACATGGTGGCATTACAAGGTAGTTTAATAATAATGTAAACACATTATCTTTACCATTGTATCATCACATTGACTTGTTCACACCATGGTACAAATTGCTTATGTCTCAGAAAGGTAGAAAAAAGAACCCTGACACATAGACTGGAAATTTTTGTGGAAATGTTCTCAATGCAATAGCTTCTATTTCTTTAATTTTTATAACTTTTAATTTTTTATAGCGTTTCTCAAATTCTTCTGCTCTTTTTCACAATGCTTTTCGTTCTCAGAGTCCCATCAAGGTGACAAGCGTTCTCTTTCTTTCTTTTTCTTGAGCACAGTCTCCATCATCTCCATCTCACTAGGCCCCTCCCCCCAACCTTCCTTCAGCCATATCCATTCTTTCCTGTAGTTCAGTTAAGCATGCTCCTGGGTCCTTATAAAAAAGCATCTCTTTCTGCATGATGATGCTTTTGTCCCAGACAGTTGAATGCTTTTCTTGTGATTTTAGTTGCCTGTGCGGATGTCACGTCCTTAGATAATAGATCTTCTCTGACCATCATGCCCTCTCTTGCTCTGTCCCCTTATCTGGCTGCCCATCGCTTCACTGCTTGTATCACTGGCCTGTAGCATCTGACGCGTAGTTCGTCTCTCTCCAGCATGAGGCTGTAATTCCCATAGCTCAGGGGATAGACTTTTTGTCTATTGCCGAATCTCCAACATCCAGAGCCCTGGCTGGCACAGCAGGTACTCAACAAATACGGACTGAGTGGTTTCTACATCATGAAGATTTAACAAAGAAGGAAGGTCTCCACATGCGATGATCCCTTATTGTCACTGGGACTGTCACAACCGTAGTTACCCGCAGCGCTTCTCAGATTGCCCTGTTGCCTGGAATTCCTCGGGTGTGGACTTATTTGTTGTATCTTCTGAGTCTCTGTCTCTGTCTCTCTTCCTCAAGACCGGTGTTGGGTTGTGGAGCCTTTAGACTTTCCCACAGGATTAAAAACTTTGACTCGCCTACAAGTGTTCTCCTTATCTCACTGGCCCGGGACTGTCACACCATCTGGTGGGAGCTTAAGTTCAGGTTCTCCATACAAGCACTAACCCAGCATCACAGGCCTGATTTCCTACAGGTGCTTCCAGCCTCAGTTCTACCGAGACTCCGTGTCCAACCACAGTCCCGTGGTCTGTGCGCTGCCATTCCCAAACACCCCCTTTGCGGCTTCTCACCGTATCAAGAGCCCAGGGCTTCTGCCTCGGGAACTTAGGGACTGGCCTCTCCCAGTCCAGAAACCTCAGCCACAGGACCACTCGGATTTCTTGACATCGATTCCCGCTCTTCTGACTTGGAACCTTCACTTCCAGCACCTGGAAATTTTTCTTTCTTGCTTTCTCAGTTGCGCTATGTATGACAAATTTCTGTTATATATCATCTAGTGTTTTCTTATCTTTGGGTCAAGAGAGCTTCCCATGTCTGCTCAGTCAGCCATTTGACTGGTGGAACATGAGGGCATCATTTATTCTGGCATTTAAAAATTTTTTACTTTAACATTTTTAAAGCAATATTCCTGACATCGTTGATGCTCATATATATCCAAAAGCATTTACACCAGGGGTCTCTGTAGATGAGCAGTGATAAAAATTTAGATTCTTTGTATCCTAGGTCTCTGGACATTCTAATAATGTTTTAAAGGAAACTTTCAGCATTATTTATGAATAAAGTCTGTCAAACAGTGATCTCATCATCCATTCCATTATTTTTTTAAGTTTCTTTTCAGTGTTGCATGTTTTATTTTCTTTCTAGCCTTTTAGGAGAATTTTGTCAAACAGAAAGTGATTATCAGTGTGACGTTTAAGTATCTGGAAGGTATTGTGTGTGCCAAGATTTCCTTCAGTTCCCTTCATAAGCCTGTCTTGGTGAGCACCAAGTATACTCCCAGGACATGTCTACTAGGTGCTGTGGACTGACTTTACTATAATCAGTAATAATTATGACCTTGTTTTCTAAGACATTATTTTATTTAAAAATATTTTAAAATTTATTTTTATTTTATTTTATTTATTTTTATTTTTATTTATTTTTATTTATTTAAAGATAAAGATATTTGTTAGAGAGAGTACACATAAGTAGGCAGAGGGAGAAACAGATTCCTCACTAGCAGGGAGCCCGATGCAGGACTCAATCCCAGGACCCTGGGATCGTGACCTGAGCTGAAGACAGACGTTTAACCGACTGAGCCACCCAGACATATTTTTAGTTATGTTACTCTCAAGTTGAAATGCACAGACTTTAAGTCTTGAGTTTGCTGTGTTTGGGACAATCCAGATACAAAGCATTTTCCTTACTTCAGAAAGTCCCCTTATGCTATTTCGTGCCTCTTATTTGCAAACTTTGACTTCTTCCCTCCCAGGTACTAAGATGCCTCCGCTGAAATCTGAAGATTCCGCTCGGAAGCGCTCCACTTTGAATCTGTGTGACCTCCTGGATTCTACAGACAGAAACTACTTTGTGAAATTATGGGCCAGACTTTCAGCCAAAAAAACCCCAGTGGTAAGGGGTGGGTGGGGAAGGGGCTGAGCTGCAGTGGAGCCTTGCTCCGCTCAGACCAAAAGGGGATCTGGTATTTTGAGACTAAGTTTCACCAAAATTCTTTTCTGACTGGTATGAGCTGAAGCCAAATTTTTTTTATAATTCTTTTCATTTTTTAATAAACATATAATGTATTATTAACCCCAGGGGTACGGGTCTGTGAATCATCAGGCTTACACACTTCACAGCACTCACCATAGCATATACCCTCCCCAATGTCCATAACCCCACCACCCTCTCCCTAACCCCCTCCCTCCAACAACCCTCAGTTTCTTTTGTGAGATTGAGAGTTTTTTGTTTGTTTGTTTGTTTGTTTTAAAGATTTTATTTATTTATTTGACAGACAAAGATCACAAGTAGCCAGAGAGGCAGGCAGAGAGAGAGGAGGAAGCAGGCTCCCCGCTGAGCTGGGGAGCTCAATCCCAGGACCCTGGGATCATGACCTGAGCCGAAGGCAGAGGCATTAACCCTCTGAGCCACCCAGGCGCCCCAGATTGAGAGTTTTTTACGGTTTGTCTTGAAGACAAATTTTTAGCCTCTTTCTACACCTGTACGAATAGACATGGGCTCTACAAAGAATATTCAGCGTAGCTTTCATGAGTCCCTTTCCCTAGCCCTTAGTCAAAACTTGGACACTCAACTCTTCTCTTTAGCAAGAATAGAAAAGGACTTCGACAGCACTCACATGGTAAAATACGCATTTCAGGAGAAAACTGGCTTTCCTGTTGGGGTAAAATGTCCAGTGTTCTTGGGCTGAGACTTGAAAGCGAGTCCACTCCGAGGCCCTGTTTTACAACTTTGCAGAGCTCAAGCCGCTCATGTAACTTTGTTGCAATTCAGGTTCCCCGACCACCCCGAAAAATCGGTCTGTGTGGGAGGACTGAGTCCAGCATTGGCTCTGCTTGCAAATTAGGTTGTGCTCAGTTTCCTTTTGTCATAGTTCTATAGGATGGTCTGGGAATTTGAAGAGGCCTAACTCATAGCCACTGCTGTCACCACAAATGCGACAGGACTTGGCTTTTGGTTGTCAGGTCTTCGTTGGTGGTTCCTTAAGGCGAGGCTGTTGTTGGCAAATAATCACATCAGACTCTAAAGTCAGAACTGTAGGCGGTGGCTGAAAGCCTCAGACTGGTTACCTCCGATGAAAAGTCTCGGGCTATGGTATATCCAGGCGTAGCTCTGCAGTCTACCTGGATTAAGTCCTACGACGACAGTGTTCAAGGGGCAAGAAGCAGATGCCCGATCAAGCCAGTTTACATAAGAGGTAGTTGCATAGAAAACATGAGAGTGGATTCCCGGTGCGCCAGGAGCAGGGCTGCAGTACAGACCTCACAGGAACTGCCAGGCTCTAGAATGAACGAGTGAGTTGCTCGGGTTTCCCTGCCTTCCAGAGTCATCAAGTTCCTGTCATCTCTGCTCCTGATTCTCGAGTGTTCTGTGGTCCTGTCTCTCCTGGCCGGCCTCCTCCACGCACACAGGCTTCCCTCTCACATCGTTTAAACCCATTCTCATGCATGCCAGCCCTGACTCTCCGTGGCCTCTTGGCTCTGTGCTCCCAATTCCTGGCCACTTCTCTCGGTCTCTGTCATTCGTATTGTGGGAGGCAAGAGAATCTAATTGGCCCGGCTGCACTTTTCAAGCCCTTCCCCAGAGATCATGCGAGACTGCTTGTCCAGTCACCTGCGGAAGGGCAAACGGCTCAGGTACGGATCAGGGCTTCCTAGGAGGAACAGAGGGTGCGTGCACTCCAAACACTTATAAATAATACGAATTTGTACCATGATACGCAAGTGCAGGAAACATCATATTTATCCAAAATAAATATAATTCTGGAATTGTTGCCATCAACCAGGATCTGTGGGAAGTCAAATATCAGCCATGAGGAGTTGGGATTACTCCCATTCTTTGGGTCAAGTTCAAGAACCCTGAGGGTTACACCCTCCTGGAAGATTGAGGAAGAGCCCCTGGCTTCTAGAAAACCATGGTTACCATGGAGATGGCCCTAGTCTAAGAGTTTGAGTTCCGCTCTGAGCCAGTGGCGCTGGTATTCTCCAAATCCTCTGCTACCAGGCCCTCACGTAGGACTGACCCCTAGGGAGCTCTCTCTCCCAGAAGAGCCTCTCAGCCTCTATCTTTCCATCCTGGGAAATCTCTGTTCTTTACCAGTCAGTCTACCCCTTTCTCTCTACACTCGTTATCCTCTTCTCGGCTGGTATGGCTTTATGCTTCTTGGGACTTAGCCTTGCTAATACAGGTTCTTCTTTCTGTCCCCAGGACAGAGCAGACCCATAGCGTAAAATCCAGAACAAATTCTTAGCCACATTTATTCCTTCGTAATGAAGTCTATGTCCTGACACCCAGAACCCCTCACAACCCACTTTTGCTGTCCTGCTGCACAACCTCACACACGCTGATGAGAAACGCACACCATTCATTTGCCATGCCCTGCTGCCCGTGAGCGGGTACTCATGATGTGTTTAAACATCACCAATCTGAATTTCACCTGTTAGAGAACCTCCAGCCTTGATTAAAGACAGATTTTGTCTGGTTAAGGGCAATCAGCTATTTAGGAGTGAGAAAAGAGGGTCAGAGGAAGGGAAATGGGGGAAAGAAAAAAACCCCAGACACACAATGTGTTTTTCACTATAATTCATGACCAACATTTCAGTATAAGATTAATAAAAAGTTTGGAGAAACTGGAGAGGGAAGGGTATGATAAAAAGGCAGTGTGATCCTACAAGGGGCCCCCACGTTGGTGGTGGTAGACGGGGTAGGGGGAAGGGAGCAGGTAGCGCAGGCCACTTGGGGTCAAAGTAGTCTCATGAACTTTTCCATGGATCACTCCTTCCTGGCAGTCACCTCCCTAAAAAACTGTTCAGCCCCGTTGTCCAGGGCATCCATAGCCTGGTCTAGAACATCTAGACCTGTTAGAGCATTGGCAGTGACTGATCCCTGATGGTAACGATCCTCAAACTCCTTGCTCCTGGAGGTTCTGGTGTCTTTGCCAGTCAGTGCTGGTAGAGAAACAATGTAACCACAGTTTCATAGAGAAGCAAATCAAATCCCCCAACAACCAGAATACATTCTTCAGAAATAGGTACAAAATACTCAATTGCTGCTATCATATATGTGGGGCGGAATGTGCCTAAGGCTATTTTTAGTGCCTCGTTTTCTTTTAAAGATGATGGATTTGATGCTATTTTTAAATTTTAAGTACTTTTCAGATTTTAACCTTTATGTAGCTGTTAACAATGCAAAATGAGCAATATGACAGCGGAAGCTTTAGAAAGATGTTATCATGTTATGTTAGAGAACATAAATAGCCTTTACACAGCATTTGTAATTTGGAAAAGGCTTTTGTGTAAATTATCTCATGTACCTTTCATTGCAGCCCTTTAGAGAAGATGTTGTTTTGCTCATTTTACTTTCCCCAACATAAATTTCCATGTATTTTTGAAACCTTTTAGTGGTTTTTTTACCGTAACAGCCAGGAGACTGCTTATCTCGGGAGAGGGAAGGAGGTGGTAAAGGTTGAAAAGGATGCAAGGGATGCTGGCACCTGGGGGTTTAGGAGGGCACCTGGTGTAGTGAAATGAGGGCCATTTGTTCACTAGCTGGACAAGCCTCAATGAGTTACTTAACCTCTCTGGGGTTGGGTAGGATTTCCCACAGCTTGAAAAATCAAGGGCAGTCTACAGAGTTTTTGTCCAAGGGTGATGCTGAAACCAAAACCAGATGGAGGTACAACTACATGATCAATCCAAAGGACTGGAAGACGGAGAAGAATTCAGACCACAGTAGTAGAGCACAGTAGGGTGAGCGCTTCCTAGGGGCTGAGACTTAGCTTCCTGTCCTCCTGGATATAAATCTGGGAAAAGGGAAATAATGAGCTACAGGAGGTGTGGCCATGTGGGAAAGTAGTGTTCATCATCTGTGTGATGGCTTGTTGGAAGATGAATTCATTCTGTCATTGTAGTTTAGCAGTCCTGGGATGAGCCTTTGCTCTCCTAGCCATCCTGTCCATTCCCATATGTGGAAGGCTCCCCTTCTCCCCTCTTTCCCTTTCTTTTTTCTCACTCATTCCTCTTCCCTTCTTCTCACATGTCTTGAATTTGTTGAATCCCTACCGTGTATAAGGATTAAATTTGCTTTTCAGTAGATATCAGGTATTTGCTTGCTGGACCCTGTTCTAGACACTAGAACGAAGTAGAGCTGATCCTGCCCTTATTGAATGGAATAGTCTGGTAGAAACACCTCTGGTCTCTTCTCTTTGGTGGATGAGGGCTGTGTATCTCTAGCCCTTCTACTACTGCTTCTTTATTTGAGTAGAAAATGGGCTAATGGAGCATGGAGACATCCTCAGGATTACTGGTGCCTAATACACCAACAGCTGTGTTTTGTTTCTCATCTCTGGGATCACTGGGACCCACATGGCTTGTCTCCGTTAGGAAGAAATGTCCAAGAGTAGTATTCTTTGTTCTTCAAGTCTGGAAAAACATTGCTAACATTTTTCTTGCTTGTGACTCTAATAGTTTATCAACATCAAATGCTTTCCATGAATTTGACCATAATTTGAGTTTAAATAGATACCCAGTGTATTTCCTCATACCTTGCTTATACAATCCTTGTTGCTTTATCTCTTCTCTCTTCTTAGCTTAAATGGTACTTACTTTGATGAACGACTCCCAGAGAATATTAATTTGAACATTTCTGAAATATTTCTGGAGAAATGTAAATATAATTTTGATCAACCTTTCTTCTTAAATGCAGTTTTTAGTTTTGAGTAAAACAAAACAAACAAAAAAACAATACACAGCTCTTTTCTTACTGTTGCAAAAATATATAACAAACACTATTCAGTAAAAGGTTTTTATTTATACAACACATATATTATTAATTATAGAAGTCCGGGTTCATGAGTTTTGTTAGATATCACTATGTTTTAGTTTCTCTGTTAATTG